AACTTCGTCAACCGCGCCTTCCTCGAGGAGTTGCCAGGTGCAGGCAAGGTGGAGGACTCAACAACAATCTGCCTGGTGGACGGGACGACTCGAGGCAGGTGCCCAGTGCAAAAAGGCCTCACAGTCGAGCTGGGCCCCTCTGTCACCAAGGTGGAGGCCACTGAAATGAATTTGTGCCATTTCGGTGCCATCCTGGGCATCCCGTGGCTGCTCGAGGCCCGACCAAGATTTGACTGGGACGAGCACGCCCTTGTTGTGGATGATGAAAGGGTGTGGCCCATCCACTGTGTGCCTCGGAAAAAGCTACCTGACAACCTCGCACAGGCCGAGAGCGAAGAAGCGCTGAGCAAGGAGAAGGACAACGAAGCCGAGGCTGAAGACGTCACTCCGTTGGAAGACATCGCACCCGAACAGCTGGAGGTGACATTTGATCCAACCGAACGGCTGAAGCGGTGCGTCTGGCAGCGAATAAGTTTGAAAGGTGACCACAGCCACCCAGAGGGGGAACCGTGCAGCGAGGACCGCTACAAGGACACCGGCAAAAAAGGAGCAGAACAGGAAGAGAGCTACGGCGAAGCCGATGCTGCGCCATCACCCCAAGGAAACAAAGGCGTCAGCACGGTCGCTGAGGGTCAGACCGGCGACGTCTACAACGCTGGTGACGACCAAGGTGTGACGTCTGGAGCTGACAACTGGGATGGTTCCAAGACGCGAGACAAGGGGGACCAAGACGGCAAAGTCGTCACTAACTGCATAGACGTCAAGGTGGTGACGGAGGACGTTGAGGTAAAGATGACGACTCCGCAAGGTGCAGCCCATCAGCTGGACGAGGACGGTATCCCCAATGGCAGCTTCACGAGCGTCACGGCCAGGGCGCCGGGCATCAAGACAAGAGCTGTACCACGAGGAAACGCGCCCACCACAAAAACGGTACAGGGCCAGGCGGTGAAGCGGCGTGCAAGGAGACGCCTAAGGAAGCGTATTACGGTGGTCATACGGCGGTTCGACGCGATGGATCAAAAGACGTCAACAGGCGGTCAAGGCGTCAACCGCGAGCCGGCACCACCTGACCCGTTAGACGAAAAGACGGCGCCAGAAATATGCACGGCAAGGGTTGCCGCGCTTCCCAGTGACAGGGTACGACGAAGTGGAAGGGTCCTGAACGGTGTGGCTCTATTTATAGGACTGGCGGGAGTGTTGGCCACTACCCTTCTACTGTCCGCCGTCCTCTATCACCCCGAGCCAGCAGCCTGCCATCCCGCTGCTCCCGTCCGAGACGAGATGGCGCCCGGTACCGAGAGCTGGATTGAAATCTACCAGCGCATCCAAAGGCACAATGCAGCGGAGCAACTACATCGCCATTGGGAGCTGGTGAACCGGCCGCGCCCCGACAGCCCTGTGAACTGGGGTTTCAATGACGACTCCGACAGTGGCGAGGGGCTGGACATCACCAAGGACGTCCCGCCTATGACGCGGGGGCGCGGCTGGGCGGCGGCGGCCAACGACGAGTCAGGCGCCGCCGCTCTGGGCCAACCCGAGTGTCAACCCGCGGCGAGGCCCAAGAAACGGGGGCTCGAGCCGCAAGACTCATGGAGCGTCTCGTGGACGCGGTCGCCCACGAGCAAGCGGCTGCGACGGGTGGCGGGAGGCTGCGGGGATGACGACCCGTGGCGCGACATCGTCCAGCCCCATTGGGGGGGTGACTGGACCCGACACCAAGGAGGGCGCTGGTGGGCCAGCGAGGAGAAGGAGAATGAGGCGTTGGACGGTGAGACAACGACGCCTGAGGGATACCGGTGGCCCGTTCGGGCTCAACCAGTCTGGGGTGGCAGCTAGGTCTGAGCCGAATGATACACGAAGGGGACGACCAGCGGCGTACCACCCTTCCCAACCTGCCGGAGCATCCAAGGACGGAGGATACTCGCGAGGACGCTTCGTAGCAGAGGGGGAAGAGTGTGAGGGGAGCCGTAGGGGGGAATGTACAATACGGGAACATCATTGTATAATAGCATGGGCAGTCATTGTACTATAGCTTCAGAGCCGTGCCAAGTGGGCACCGGTTGTACAATAGATACTTAATATAGAGGGGACGGGGTGTGAGATGCACACCAAGCCGGGCACCGTTCGAGTCAAGGCGCGTGGGATAGACCCACGGGGTGCACCGCTTAGGTTGGGTAACAATGACACTGGGTTTAGTCAGGGTGACTCACGGGACGAAACGGGGAACACGGAGGGGCATGAATTCAAACACTCGAACATTACCAAATTACCAATCTGGCATGTGCCGGTTGGGTTTCCTAAACCCCGCCCTTGGGCGGCTATTTAAAGCCGTCCAAGGTGAACATTGTAATCCAAGTTCGTTGTGATTCTGTGCCTTTGTCTCCACGCTCAATCCTGAGCTGCTGCCTGACCGAAATCACCGAGCAATCTGCCTCCGGCAGTTTCGCCCCTTACAGTTACCATGGGATAAGGAATAGTAAGCATATCTTGGGCAGGGCGTCCCCTACACCAACGGCCATTAGTAGGGCGTCCCCTACATCAAGGCGGTGTGCGTAACAGCGCCCGATGCGCGCCCGATACTGGCCTCCCTGACAGCCCCACGGTTGTCAGGTTAAGTCAGCTATCGGCAGTACACCCTTTTGCTCCCCCGACGCGGCCCCCCCCAGGTCCGCTCAGCCCCCGCGCCCCGCCGGCCTTCTGGAGTGGCGCGTTCACTCCCCCGAGCTCCCGCGATCAAACTCCCTGTGCAAGTTGGGAGCCAACCCCCCTCTCCATAATCCTGCCGGGTTATTTTCCCTCCGGAGCGCAAAGATCGACCGTGCGGGTCCGTGAGCCATGGCTGTTCGCGGTGCCCTGCATCCGGTCACATGGGATCCCGGGGCATTCTCTATTCTTGCCTTTTGCTTGCATCCTATCCAAGCAGGCGGCAAGGCCTCTCCCTTGCCCATATTTTCCCCCAACTACTTTTCGTCCGCTCCAACGAGATTAGCATTCCGGCCGGATGGATGGGATGGGCCTCCCGCAGCCCCATGGCTGGCCATCGGTCGCGCGACGCGATCACTGGGCATTGCTCCGATTTTTTGACGTGGAGCTTCTCGCCATGTCCCTCTGAGCCTCTGGGTCTGGCTTTGCTGCGTGCGCGTGGGTTTACAAGACATTCCAGTCGGCAAAGGGGTGACGGGTAGAGCGCCAATACTTTGCGGCGAGCGGTGTCCTGCTGGTCCTTCCATGGTGTTGTGTGGGTTTCTGTACATTGTCAGACGCATTGGACGGTTCTTCCAGTCTGCTTCTGGCCTACGGTGGCCATGCTGGCAGGTCCTGTGGCTTCCCAGCGCATCCTTGGTCCTCTGTGACATCGTTCTGGTGTTGGGAAGGTGGTGTCGTTGGTGCTCTGAGCCATCCTGGACCGTTCTGGGCTACTTGCCACTTGTTCTTGGCCTCACGGGGCACCAGCTGAGCACTACTAAAGGGGCTGTCTCCATAATGCAATCTTTCTATGTTAAAAGGCGCCCCGAACACCAGTCAATCAAACACCAAGTCTGCAGCACGCCACAGGTCGCTGGGTGCTGACAACAATGACTGATGCTCTGTACTTGAATACCACGAAAGGCGAACAAAGAAAACGTTGCGAGGGGAGCGAGGTGCACCAACCAACAAGGAGGGTCGACCTAAGGCCCCAATCCCAAATCTGGTTCTGTGGAAGCCAACGTGCCGACTTCCACGCGGCAAGCCGCGAAGTACAGAGGTTCCACCCAGGTTGCAAAGGGAGGTGCGATGCAACAGCCCACCAACCACGCCATTGCACACAGACAGAACATCCGTGCAATGCGGTGTCACTGTCACCGCCACAGCATCAGCCACCAGTTTTCCAAACAACCCAAGGAACGACCCAACAAACCAACGACAACCAGTTATTCATGCTTTCACCTAAAGTCCAAAAGGCCGACCAAAAAATCCTCCAAACTTAGCAAATGGGGTTCGCGAGCTCTGACCCCTGGAGGCTGACGCCGCAGATGTTGCACCGACCAAGCCACCGGGACGAGTCTGTGCCTGGTTACAATCGAATCGTGAAGGAATCAGTAGCCAGTCCTGCAGGAATGCACCCAAGAATGGACACCCAGATGGCATGGCCCGAAGCTTCGGACCATGTAGGGAAGACTGCACACTTGCCCAAACCACAGCCGAGGGTATGGCCGCGCAATGTCCAAGGCACAAATGGGCATCGGCCGATGAGCCCCTGCCACCAACACAGGACGCCTTGAACAATAGTCCTGTCAACTCCCAGCGGATAAGCAATCGGTCCACCAACTCGTTCATGACAATTTGCAGCCTGCAGTTGCTGGGCCATCAGGCACTGTCCAAACGTGCCTGGCAGCCGCCCATGCCCTCTGGTCTGCAGGCAGTCTTCACCCTATGAATGGATTGTCTCCCATTGTCCTCAGATGGGCGGTAGTTGGCATCCGCGGTTCCGTTACGCTGAGGGCTCGCCTCTGATACGGAATTCTTCCTGCCACTATCCACCGCACACAACAACAGCGTGCGAGCCAGGCGGCAGGAGCCCCATATGCCCACCTCCATTCAATCAGCCTGTCCCCTAATTCGATAATTTGAAGGCATGGTGACAACCAGACGCCAGGGAACGGTTACAATGCCCGGGGAGCAAAGCCATCCTCTGTGGGCGCTTCCAGCGCCCTCGTGGCCACGGTGTTCTACTGTACAGGTAAAGAGATAAACAAAATACCCCTCGGCACGCACAATACCGTCCGCCCGAAACACAAACCGAATATGGCCAAACCAATTTGCAGACGCGGCCGCGTGGGCGCGGCCAAACCGTTTCCCCAAAAGATTCCTCTCAAAATATCATCTCGCCTCAGCTACAAAACTCCGTGCAACAAGACAAAACTCCAAAATACAACCCCCGCAAATGCGCCGCCCAGCCCGCCACCGCCCCTGGCTCGCCCGGCCTCCCGCAAAACTGGCCCAGCCTCGTCGCTGGGGCGTCAGGGCGGGCCATGGGTCCCGCCCTCTACCCGGCGCCGCTTGGCGGCACGCTCCCCGTCGCTCCCGCCCGATCCATCGCCACAGACCCGGCCCGTTTCCGTCGCATCGTTCCCCGTCTTCTTCTCACTCGGGTCCTCCTTTCCGCCTCCCTCTTCTCCCGAATCGCCGGTGGGGCCCTTTTCTCGACCGCACCGGCCGGCGGGCGCCTCCGAATCCAGCTCCGGAAGCGAAGACGCCTCCGAGTCCGCGCTTCCGTCTCTCCGACGCCTCCCGGCGCCCTCTCGTGGTCGAGGACCGCGGTCGGCCGCCGGAGGCTCGTCCTCCGTCTCGTCCGTCTCGCGGCTCCCGGAGTCGTCCTCCGGACGGCCCGGCGGCGGCTTGGCACCCTCGCTGGCCTTGCGCTCCTCCAGGACACGCCGGGCCTCCTCGGCGTTGAGGAAGCGGCCGCCGGCGCCACGCACGCGCCGGGTCGCATGGTTGTGCCGCGACTCGTGCAGGTAGGGCTGCGCGAGCAAACCGGCTTCAGGCGAATATCGGAAAGGCCAGATCGAATCAAATGCCCCCACGCGTGCTTTTCTTTGCTCGTTCCCGCCCCCGCCGGAGGACAGGACGTAAGCGCTGTTACTTCGGTCGACAGCGGGGGATGACAGCTTCAGGGACCCCGCCTCTGCGGGGCGTGTGTTTGGAAGAGTTGGAGCCATTCGGAGGGGAATGCCGCGGTCACGGTGTCTTGGCCCCGGGGCGCGCCGTGTAGAAGTTGTCCCGTTTCTGCGCCGCCGCCCGCTTACAGAGCGTCCACTCCCCGAGGCTTTCCTCGCCACGCTCACGGCCCGTCTTCCCGTGCGCCGGGCCCCCGGGCCTCCGCGCGGCGCCTCACCTTGCGCGCCTTCAGCAGCCTGTTCTCCTGCTCCGCCTTGGCGCGCTGCTGGCGACGCCTCAGGATGCAGCGGTACTGCTTCGCGTTCACGTACACGAGCTCATCTTTGGAGCCGCCCAGCGCCACCCTAGGCTGGGGCGCCTGGCCGTAGGAACCCCCCTGAGCAGCAAACATCACCGTCGTTCCGTCAGCAACAAATAATCACAGCCCTATAACGTGACCGGGCGCACTCTGCCGGCGAGCGCCCAGCGGGCAAACCGGGGGACCGGAAGGTGGTGAGCGGGGGCCTCTCACCGCAGCCTGCTGCGCGTAGTAAATCCTGTACAGGGCCTCGAAGTTGGGCACCTCTCCCTGCAGCGGCAGCGCAGAGCGTGAGCGACGGCCGTGCCACCCGCCCCAGTGGGCGGGCCTCCCCAACAACGGCCAAAATCGGATTGCACCGTGCGGGATGGATCCCTCCCTCTCCCACCTGCCCCAGGAACTGCTTTGCCCCATCCGCCGCGGCGGGCAGCGACCGCAGCGCCTGGCCCATGTCCACAGGCCCGGCGGACGCGGGCTGCCTGGGCGCAAGGCACGGCCCCGGCCCCTCCCTCACCGCAGGCCGGCCGATCGATCCGCAGCCGGCGAGCGGCCCGCCGGGGAGGTAGCCTCCCGCCGGCGGGCCCGGCGGCCCTAGCGGGGCCCAGGCGGCTGCTACGGGCCCCGCGCCCGTCGACCGCGCGGGCGTGCCCACCGCGCAGGGCGGCGACCGGCCGCAGGGACCCCCGCCAGGCGCCACGGGCGACTCCAGCATGCCCAAGTCAGCGGCGGCGGCCTTGCTCTGAATGGCGGCCCCCCTGGACGCGCCAGCATCCATTTCGCCGTCAACGGCAGAGGGGGGTCGCGACTTATGTATGTAAAGGCGACCCTGTGCCCAGCCCTCCAGCGCTCAAGCCCAGCCCGCGGTTTGGCGCAGCGTGGAACGAGCGGGGGAAGGCGGCGAAGCGGCGCATGCGCCGGATGAAAAGGCGGGTTGCGAGCCGCTCGCCGGGCGCTGAGGCCGCGGAGGACCCCCGGAAGGCCGGGGAGGGGGCATGGGGCGGGGGGGGGTGGAAGACGGGGGGCGGGGCACGCTCGGGCTCCTCGGGCAAAGGGAGAAGATCGTGGGCGCGGAGATTCGTTGCGCCGGAGGCTTTGCGACAGGGTGGCGAGGCCGGATAAAGGGGTGTTTAGTCACGTGGGGGCAGCCGCGTGCTTTGGGCCCTGGGAAACAGATACAGCCTTGTGGGGATTCGGTTTGCGTGGGGCCGGGGGGCGCACGGGGGGGGTTGAGGGGGCGCTGTGATGGGACAATCCCCGGCGACGGCCCGCGCTGGGATACGATGGGGGCGTTAGTCAGGGCGTGGGTGTACTCTCGCGCACAAAAGTGCACGTGACTGCGCTGGCTGGGGCCACAGAGAGCGGGGCCTCTGGGGAGGTTGGAGGGCGCCCGTCAAAAGTTTGGGCGGTGTCGCGGTGCGCGACCTGTGGGGTTTGGCCGGGTATTTGGAGGGATTGACTGAAGCAAACCTTCGGCCTGTCAGCCGTCGAGGGGTGGGATGGGTGCCAAACGGGGCGGTCGAAAGGCAAAAGAAGAGAAACCCGCTGTTGGGGGTCAGAAATGTCCCAGAAATTTTATGGTGGGCATCGAGCTCACCTTTCTCAACTAGAACTTGGTCCTGAGCCATGTTGTGGCCACTTTGTGGCACGCTCCACCGTCCTTCTGTCGAAACCCAACGCGAGAAAAACGCAAGGAAGAGAGGCGAGCACCAGCCGAGGAAGCACCCACCCAGTGGGGTGCCGCACCCAGCACCTTCCCCGCCAAATCACCACATTCCACAAACTTCTTCCCAACCTTGTCCGCCACAAGCCGTTGCCTCGGCGGCGGCTCCATACCCAACCTCCCTGCGTGACTCATCTGGACCCGCGCCACCTTCGCCACAGGAGTCGTCGGCGGGCCAGCACCGCTATATGACGGACCCCCGACGCGCCCATCCCGCAGAGCTGTAGCCCAAAGCCAGGGTGCCCCGTGCCTTCCGCGGGCGTTCCTCTCCCAGGGATCCGCCCCGGGCCACAGTCCCCCACCCCCCCACCCCACCCCACCCAGGGGAACCCACTTCCACAAATAGACGTCCCCGGCCAACCGCCCAGGCCTCTGCGCCCTGGACCGATCGGGGCGTCAGGCGCCCGCATTGGAACGTCCAATTTCTCAAGTTGGTGATTGGGCCGTGAGACCTCCCTTGGGCGGCAGTTGGGCACCCCTCGGGCGAAGCAGGCAAGGGAGGCAGGATTAGGAGGGCCGCCGGCGCGGCCAGCCGTTTTCAGCGATGGCGGACGACAAAAAGAGCCGGGGCAGGGAGATGGTCACGCCGCTGACCCTGCCCGGGCACACCGGGTTCTTCTCCCCGCGGGAGCTGTCGATCCAGCGGCACACGCGCAGCGACAGCGGCGCGGACCCGCTGCACTCGCCGGGCACGATGCGGTCGATGGAGAGCGCAGCGTCGACGGTGGAGGACTTCGTGCGGGACTCGCTGAGCAACCTGGAGGAGCGGCTGGAGAGCGTGCTGGACAACGTGTCCGAGGAACTGGCCAGCGAGGTGGCGCGCGAGCGGCAGCACCTGATGCTGATGCAGGAGCAGGTGGACAAGCAGGGGCGCATGCTGCAGCACGAGTTCGGCGAGATACGCAAGGTGGGGCACGGTCTGCTCCTGCGTGAGATTTCCGGCGCCGCTCAGTTGGGGGACCCTGGATGACCGCGAAAGAACACCGTGGGGCTGCGATTCGGACCCGGGTGTTGACTCCACCGCGGTGTGGGCGTCTGCCCGAAAAGCGCTCTCCCATCGCCTGTGCGATCGCCACCGTGACGGTGACGTTTTGGTTGGGCGCCAGGCCATGGAGCAGGAGCGCACGGCGCGGGCGCTGGTGCAGCAGAGCACGCGGGAGCGCGGCGACGCCATCTCGGAGAACGCAAATCGCTGGAGATGCGTGCCGGCAAATTTGACATTAAAGCGTGGTTTACGCCAGTGCGCGGCGGACCGGCCGTACGTCACGTTGCCGTCGTCGTGACCGGGGTGGGGCCGGAGGTGAGACTTGTCACCAATCAAAGAAACACGTCGTGCAATGGGCAGCCCCTTCCAAGGGGGAGGGGCGGAGACGAACAATCCGAGCGTCGCGGGCGCGCGCCTGAGTTCGAGGGGCGAGGCACCGGCGATGGTGGCGGGGAAGGGCCAAATTTTATGGGAAGAGGAGAGTGCAAACGAGCGGTGTTGAAATTTGTGGGGTTGGGGTGAGGCGTGGAGTTTGCCGAGAGCCGTGCGCCAAAGTTGGAACGTGCGTCAAAGTCGGATCCGCTGCACAGGCGAGGCTGTTTGGGGCAGCGCGGCGGGCGTCCTGGCGGCCCTGACGGTGCTTGTGTTGGGGAGGCGTGTGGTGGGTTGGGGCTTGGGGAGGGGAAAGGACCCAGCGGTCGTTGTCCGTTGAACGGCCTGGCATTGTGCCTCACAACAGCCAGCGGTCCCTGACGGGCGGCTTGCGTGGCAGGCGGCGCCTGGACTTTCAGAGGCGCCAGGGGCTGTTCTGGAATAAAGTGGGAGCTCACACGGGAGGCGCATGCAATCAACTGCCGTGGTGCGCTCCATGCTGGTTGGGGCGGTCATCCGTTTTCGCAGTGCCCCATGTTGGGACGAAATGTTCTCAAGACCCGGGGTGCCCAGATTGGGGGGGTGTTTTGGAAATGCACACTGCTGTTGAATTGCTGGCCTTGTGGTCTGTTCCTGTGGTATCAGCTGCCTGTGGTATGGTTGCCACACATGTAAGGCCACAACTGCACGAGCAAGCCTCAAGTGTCAGGACAGTGACCTTATTCTACCATGAAACGAGGCCTGTGTCCATGCTCCCTCCCAGTTCTGCATCTCCCACGAATTGAGCGAAGACCTGGAGTTGAGAGAAGACCTTGCCGATTTTTGCGGCTTGATCGACAGTGCCGAACGAGGGAAAGCCCGTGTCGACGGCACGTTTCCGGAACTCTGGACAGGCCTGGTCAGCCTCTTCCGGCAGACTGCACCCGAATCAGACTCTAGCACTCTCAGGAACTCCTCCAGATTGAACATACCCTCTTGGTTGCAATCCACCTGCATGGTCGACACCAGTGCTTGTCACAAACTCATGTCTGCATTGTCCTTCGCAGGGCGATGGAGTGCCCTTGAACCTCGAAGGCGATGGAAGGCACTGAGAACATCCAAAAAGTTCTTATGTTTTCGCATCTCCACAATCTCTGCATCGGCCTTGTATTGTCCCAAAAGGGACCAGTCTTTGGTTACAGTGCACACACCGATACCTTGATGAGACAATGGGGGTGGGGCGGGGTGGGGTGGGTATGGATAGGGTCGGGTTGGGAGGAAGCACTGGATGTGATCGTGTTTTGTGCACTTGTTTCGCCTTGAGTGCACAATGCCACCTGAATGACGATGCCCTGTATATTTCCACCAGCAACCACTGACGGGAACGGAAGAAAGGATGTCGAGAATCTGGCCATGTTCCCCAAACTTGCCAGGCTGCGTGCTGTGGACGTGGCACTGAAGGAAAGTGGCACAAGCGCCTCTGAGTGGCCAGGCACTATGAGGTCTGTTCCGTTTCTGGCATGGAAAAGGAGTGCAGCCGAGTCCAACGCCTGAGCCCTGGCATGCTGCTGCTCAGCACGCCTCGTAAACCCCAGGAGGCCAGGACAGACTCCATAGGACCGATACCTGCCCATTTCCTACAACTCTTCGTGCAAATAGAAAATCACCGACGTACAATCTTACCATTCTGAAAAAAGTGTCCAACTCCTCCTGGCTCAGCGGCTCCCCAATTTCCATCATCACTGATTTGAAGTCACTGAGTGACACGGCCTTGCTGTCATCAGTGTCGAAGAACTCGAACGCCCGGCGGACCAGGACGTCCTGATTGCTGGTCTCCACAGCGTACACATGCCACTACCGATAGCAGAATCGATAAGAAACGTCAGACTGGGTAAGACATGGCAAAGGAAAATCGCCAATACCTGTTGCACTGGGCATGCAAGCTTTGGGCAATGCAGCATCGTGGGAATGACAGCTGCGGCGTTGTTGCTGTTGTTGAGTACGGTGAATCCAACAACTGAATGTGACGTCACCGGCACATGCAAAGACAACTGAAGCCCATGCCCAAGTGTCAAAGCCCATCGTGGTGACAATGTTCCCTCGGAACCAGCCAACACTCGGGGCTCCTATTCCTTCTGTGCAAGTGTGCTGATGCAGGCAGCCTGAATGCTAAACTTTGCTGGAGAGTGTTGCAAGAAGTTCAAAATGAGGATGCGAACGAAAGTGGGTGGGAGAGGAAATGGTAAACGGTACTTGTGTTCCAACACACATAGTGTGTGGCAAACATAGTGTGGCATAGCGGCAAACAAGCACTCGCCATTTTGCACCATGCTGCGCATGCCAACCCCAGCCAGCGATGGAGCAAGTGAGGCCGCAGGGCGAACGTCAGCACTGGAAATCCCCTCGCCGTCAGGGTGGCTGCTACATACGAGAGGAGCCATTAAACCCCCAAGATCATTTTCAACCATCGCGTTGCATATAGGCCACGCTTGGCCATCGAAATCACTACTGATAGGCAGCGCTTGGGTTGAGGTCCTCAACTCGAGGACTGTGCATTTCGGTGCAATTCGGTTTGGCTTGTTTCGAAGGTCAGCTTGCCAGGGCCCATCAGGCGCCCTGTGCGCTCCGTGGCGACGATGCCACTTGCAAGAGACCGTCTGCTGTCGCCCACGGCGAGCGCCCCGAACATCCTAGGTGCGCTGAGAGGGGTGGGAGGTGGGGTGGGGGGGCAGCAGTTGAACTTCTAGGTGTCGGCATCAGAACGCTCGCGCAACGCCAATCTTGAACAGGTGTAAAACTGTTTCGGCCAGGACAACTCTCGCCATTTCACCGTGTCAGTGACACGGCGTCACTCTGTGGGGTCGCCTCACCAGCTCCACAAACTCCCCGAAGGTTAAATCGCCATTGCCGTCCTTGTCAACCCGCGAGATAATCTCCTGTGGGTTTGAGCACGCAAGCAGTGAATTCCTTGGATTGTGGCCGTCAGAATGGCAACTACGAACCGCGCTCTTGCGCCTTGCAGGCGACAGCGGACGCACAAAGTGCTCATGCAGTGTCCGCGCCAATCCCCACGGACTCGTTCCGCGGAAATCCGCCACGCGGAAATCGAGCAGAAACGTGCGTCGTGCTGCAACATGTGTGTTTATTCACATATCCCACGTCTGTACTTTTCAGCGATTAATCGTTCTGACCGCACTGCGTCGCCCGGATTTGTGTCTGGAGCTATTATACGTTGACCGCCTTCGGTGGCTGAGCGAAAGTGGGACAAACGCTCTGGGCATACCAGGGATGGGGCATGACTTGCACAGTCGAAGCATTTGTAACCTTAAAACCCTTATACAAAGGAATACCGACATAACGAAAAACTCTCTCTCTCTGCACTGCGTCGCCTGGAGGAGCCTTGCAATAGCGTCGTGAATACTCTCTGGTGACGGTGCGCGATGATTGGATTCTTTCACTGGATCCCGTTCTTTCGCGGGTGGCAAAAGGCATTTTTCTCTGCCATGCGTGACGAACGTCGTACCACACGAAGTAGTGCCTCGCCCACAAGACATGGAATGTCCGGGGCAAGAATGCAGCACCACCTGGCCACGACAGAGGCGTCCTATGGGACTCCCACCCGTTCCTCCCTCTTCTTAACTTGGTGAATTGCGGCCGGGGATGCCCAGTTCGCTGTCGCATTAAATGACAGTGTGGATTTTCCCCTGCACAGTGCGCTGAATGCCCACCCAGTGCCGTTGCGGATCGTTCCCTACAATTAGATCCCCAGACACATGCAGCGGCAGAAAAGTACACACGCAAATGGTCGTCTTCCCTTTGCCCCCCTTGAATTCGACGTTTGACCAAAGAGCCTGCCATCTGGGTGTTGTAACGATAGTGTCCATTTCACTGGAATGACTCGACACAACTTGTCTTCGTGCTGAAGGCGTGTTAGCCTGCTGAAGTTGTGCATACACTAGATGAGTGGTCGGTGATTGCCAACGAATAAACCGGTATATTTGCAGATCTTCACTACGTACATGGCATTGCATTTAATTACATCATATTGCAGTTCTCCGTGTAGTAAAACGAGGATAAGCATTGAAATCCAAACCGCGCTTACTTACTGCAGGCTTCTACTGGGTTTTCACAAGTTTTTGGGACGCCAGAGTTCCTCTCGGACTCCTCCTCACCTACCACGCGCACCCGCTGCGCTCCCGCCCAAGTTTGGGCAACGCGCTTGGTGCATCACCTTGAGGTGGTACTCCACGGGGTTGAAACCCGCGCTCCGAAGGCACCTTCCCAGCTCCTGTGTGGACATCAGCCCGTTGTTGCTTTCATCGAAGAGACTTCCTCGAGCAAGCAAACATGCGTCAAAGCGCGCCAAGGCAAGGCGAAAAGGATTGCTCCCAGTGAAACAGATTGCTTGCAACCAAACTGACTGAAAACGCGGCGATCCGAGGCGAGCTGTACAGCACATGTGGTGTGAGTGATTTGAATGCATTTTCCCCAAAATGGCAACGCAAAAACGGCGCTGCATAGCGATGTAGATATGGAATCGCAAGCAGGTTGCTTAAACACACAGTCGCCGAATGCGGCAGGTCAAGGTGAATTGCTGAGTGCCCTGCCTGCACAGGTCAATACTTGATGTCCATAAAGACTTGGCACACAGCATGGACTGGCGCTGCTATTTTTAACTTCTGCATCGGCAGTTACACCAATGCACTTCCCGCCGGCTTATTTTGCTTGAAATTCATTCTGCAGTCGCTTCTTTAAATCGTGCTGAGGGGCACTATCGGTAAAGAAGCAGCTCATCGATTCTTGCATACGCGGTGCTGGAAACAAAGTATCCAAGCCCAAAATCTTGATGCCCCATCTCAACTCTTTCCAGCTTTTTTCTCCACACCGCGAATTGCGGTTCGCAAGTATCCCAGGATTTGAGGAGCGACAGGCCGAATTGCATGCCTT